TCAGAAGAAAATAATGGTACAAGTCACTTTGTATTATATGAATCAAGAAATTGTAAATGAAATAATGACCCTCTTGTTTATCAACCCATTTCACTCAGAGCTAAAGCACAGTGTAATGGTATTGTAAGGTTACTTTGAATTATGCAGCAAAAAAGAAAAACCACCTCACACATTATCACTCAGAAAACCATTCACTTTATTTTGAGGCCATATTTATTTTTGCCCCTCTTCAATCTTGCAGCCAAATCTGGTTGCCATGAACACATAATACAGAAAGATGTTGGTTGGTCTTAGTCTTCTGTAAATCCTTCATTTGATGGTTCCCAAAACACCGTCTGAAGATAGATACAAATTCATGTTTTGACCTACACTGTATTGAGCATTGATTGTCCTTTACAAACAATATAACAAATGGTATTAAATCATGAAAGCAAATTAACATCTTCTTTTTATCAAAATGGAAATATAGAAATAGCTCTATAGCAAAATAGTGCAGTTGAGTAGAATCATATATACAAGTGGAATTTGATACTTTGGAAAAACAAATACATGTAAGCTGCTTTTTGATTGGTCTGATTGTTAGGTGTTCTGGTTGGGTAACCAATCAGACACAAGGTTGTAAATAGCTTAGCATTGACTCAAATTGAGTAAGAAACCCACAGGTGAGATATCAGGGAACACCTTGGTAACTCAAAAGTGAATAATTAGAGCAGTTGTTTAGAGTAAACAACTGAAGTACCATCTGTAATATTATATGTTGCATTGGACGCAAACATCGTATATAACTGAATCAGTTGGTGATTATATTCCAAGATGATTTTGATAACTATAATGGGTATCATGTTTGAAAGACGTGAAACAAGAAAATATAAAATTTGGGAAAAAGTTCCTTAAAGCCCCACCCCTACCCTAGCACACCAGCCCCTCCCCCTCAATGTAATTGAATGTGCTCCTCAAAATAACTATATAAGTGACCCAAAGTGGGGTATGGTATATACAGTACAGTACAATGGAGCAGGGTTATAGTTATTGGTGAAGGGCCTGAAGGAAGTCTTACTACATGTTCCATATGGTTATTTACACCACTAAACAAGAAATTTAAATATGTTTATATCATGTTTCTCTTTCAGGTTTGCCATGGGTGACTGTCGTAGACCGCTCCATGAATCTGCTCTGTTGATTGAAGATATTGTACATCAGCAAATGACATCAATGGTATGTAGTGCACACACATATTGTTTAATATATTATCTTCTCTTGCCTAGCATAAACATGTACATAAACATGTACATAAACATGTACATAAACATGTACATAGAATGTATTATTACATTCATAGTTTACAATATATATACTCTCTTCTTCCTGGCATGAACACATACACAGATTGTCTACCAGTACTCGTAAGTGATCCCATATTTGCCACTAGAGGGCGCCTATTTTAATGTCTTTGTAACTTATGTCACAGTGCATGATGGGAAGTTGTACACCACACCAACTATGTGGCCAGTCTTTCCAATCTGGGATTATTTACAGTCATTATGATCCATGTGTCTATTGCCATGGCAACTGTCACTCAATGCACATGAACATATAATTAGTGTGTCTGTAGGGAATACTAATGCTGTACTGATCAGATACAAAGATTACTCCCCTCAAACTTAGCAATCCCGGGTGATTTATGCCCTATCCATCAGATTATAGCCTCATTTGTTGAATCCATTGAATTGTTATGTCCTTGTAAAGCTGGTTTGCTAAACTAATCCACGCCATATACAAAACTAACTTGGTGTCAGAAACATGGCGTGGGTTGCTGAATAAATTTGAATTCTTAACTTTCCTGAATCAGATTTAATAAACCTGTTTAACTATTTTTCATCATTTACTAAATAAATTTACTAATTTTTCAAAAATTTTGGTCAAGATCTGTAGACAATAGGAAATTATGCCCATTTTGTCCAAAATTTCCTAAAAATTATGAAAAGTATATGAAAACAGGAAAAATGTGGCAACAAAATGATGGGACTGACAAGGCTATAAATGCAGTATTGATGTAACTTTTAAATTTGTTTGCAAAAATTGTGAAATATTTATCTCACTTTCATATTTGTTTTGTATAAATTCGTTGCTACTTTCGGAACAAATGGACGTCACTTTCCATTGTCATGAAATCTTAATCAAAATGTTCGAAAAAAAATATTAAAACAATGACACATGGTGACTAGGGTTTCAAAATGTATGAACACGATTGGCAAAAGTCTCTGTTATATACTTGCCATAAAATTTAGACACAAAAAAAGACAACTAAAATATTTTCTCATAAATATAAATGAGAAAGCAATAATTGAAGTGACTTTTTTTAACTGTACAGCTTTAGCACATTGACTGCTAAAAGCCGTCACCAATAGCAGAAATGAACAGAAAAAACTGCGTCAGCAAGCGGTATGATAACAAATGTCATTCCATGTTATAATATAGGTTTAGATACATTTTTGAACACTTAAAATGAATTTATTAAACATCTGACAGAAAAATCAATAGAATTATTTCATCTGTTAAATGCTGTATGGATGTATTCGAAAGTTTTACTAATGCTTTGAGATGTCTTTCTCATTTGGAAAATGTGGGGTTTGATGTGATCCTGTACTACCATTTTTTGCTGTATCCTTGTACTGTGGGGTGGGGTCATATTATATTTCATATATATTGTCAAAATTTTGGACAAGATGGGCAGCATTTCTCACTGGCTACAAATCAAATTTTGGACCAGATGGGCATCATTTCTCACTGGCTACAGATCTTGATCACATTTTGGACCAGATGGGCATCATTTCTCACTGGCTACAGATCTTGATCACATTTGGGACCAGATGGGCATCATTTCTCACTGGTTACAGATCTTGATCAAATTTTGGACCAGATGGGCATCATTTCTCACTGGCTACAGATCATATTTTGGACCAGATGTGCATCATTTCTCCCTGGCTACAGATCACATTTTGGACCAGATGCGCATCTCACTGGCTACAGTTCTTGATCAAATTTTAGACCAGATGGGCATCATTTTTCACTGGCGACAGATCTTGATCACATTTTGGACCAGATGGACTTCATTTCTCACTGGCTACAGATCTTGATCAGATTTTGGACCAGATGGGCATCATTTCTCACTGGCTACAGATCTTGATCAAATTTTGGACCTGATGGACATCATTTCTCACTGACTACAGATCTTGATCAAATTTTGGACCAGATGGGCATTATTTCTCACTGACTACAGATTATAATCAAATTTTGGACCAGATGGGCATCATTTCTCACTGGCTACAGATCTTGATCAAATTTTGGACCAGATGGGCATCATTTTTCCCTGACTACAGATTTTGATCAAATTTTGGACCAGATGAACTTCATTTCTCACTGGCTACAGATCTTGATCAAATTTTGGACCAGATGGGCATCATTTCTCACTGACTACAGATCTTGATCAAATTTTGGACCAGATGGGCATCATTTCTCACTGACTACAGATTTTGATCAAATTTTGGACCAGATGGACTTCATTTCTCACTGACTACAGATCTTGATCAAATTTTGGACCCGATGGACATCATTTCTCACTGACTACAGATCTTGATCAAATTTTGGACCAGATGGGCAACATTTCTCACTGACTACATATTTTGATCAAATTTTGGACCAGATGGGCATCATTTCTCACTGACTACAGATCTTGATCGAATTTTGGACCAGATGGGCATCATTTCTCACTGGCTACAGATTTTGATAACATTTTGGACCAGATGGGCATCATTTCTCACTGACTACAGATTTTGATCACATTTTAGACCAGATGAGCATCATGTCTCACTGGCTACAGATCTTGATCAAATTTTGGACCAGATGGGCATCATTTCTCACTGGCTACAGATCTTGATCAAATTTTGGACCAGATGGTCATCATTTCTCACTGGCTACAGATTTTGATCACATTTTAGACCAGATGAGCATCATGTCTCACTGGCTACAGATCTTGATCAAATTTTGGACCAGATGGGCATCATTTCTCACGGCTACAGATCTTGATCAAATTTTGGACCAGATGGTCATCATTTCTCACTGGCTACAGATCTTGATCAAATTTTAGACCAGATGGGCATCATTTCTCACTCGCTACAGATCTTGATCAAATTTTGGACCAGATGGGCATCATTTCTCACTCGCTACAGATCTTGATCACATTTTGGACCAGATGGACATTATTTCTCACTGGCTACAGATCTTAATCACATTTTAGACCAGATTAGCATCATTTCTCACTGACTACAGATTTTGATCACATTTTGGACCAGATGGACATTATTTCTCACTGGCTACAGATCTTAATCACATTTTAGACCAGATTAGCATCATTTCTCACTGACTACAGATCTTGATCAAATTTTGGACGAACATGGGCATCATTTCTTACTGGCTACAGATCTTGATCACATTTTGGACCAAATGGGCATCATTTCTTACTGGCTACAGATCGTGATCACATTTTGGACCAGATGGACATTATTTCTTACTGGCTACAGATCGTGATCACATTTTGGACCAGATGGACATTATTTCTCACTGGCTACAGATCTTGGTCAAATTTTGGACTAGATGGGCATCATTTCTCACTGGTTACAGATCTTGATCAAATTTTGGACCAGATGGGCATCATTTCTCACTGGCAACAGATTACATTTTGGACCAGATGGGCATCATTTCTCACTGGCTACAGATCTTGATCACATTTTGGACCAGATGGACATTATTTCTCACTGGCTACAGATCTTAATCACATTTTGGACCAGATGGACATCATTTCTCACTGACTACAGATCTTAATCACATTTTGGACCAGATGGGCATCATTTCTCACTGACTACAGATTTTGGTCAAATTTTGGACCAGATGGACTTCATTTCTCACTGACTACAGATCTTGATTAAATTTTGGACCTGATGGGCATCATTTCTCACTGACTACAGATTTTGATACAATTTTGGACCAGATGGGCATCATTTCTCACTGTCTACAGATCTTGATCACATTTTAGACCAGATGAGCATCATTTCTCACTGGCTAAAGATGTTGATCTCATTTTGGACCAGATGGCAATCATTTCTTACTGGCTACAGATCGTGATCACATTTTGGACCAGATGGACATTATTTATCACTGGCTACAGATCTTCATCAAATTTTGGACCAGATGGGCATCATTTCTTACTGGCTACAGATCAAATTTTGGACCAGATGGGCATCATTTCTCACTGGCTACAGATCTTAATCACATTTTGGACCAGATGGACATCATTTCTCACTGACTACAGATCTTAATCACATTTTGGACCAGATGGGCATCATTTCTCACTGACTACAGATCTTAATCACATTTTGGACCAGATGGGCATCATTTCTCACTGACTACAGATCTTGATCAGATTTTAGACCAGATAGGCATCGTTTTCTATTAGCTACAGTTCGTGATCAAAATTTTTGAAAAAATAGATAAAATATTATGAGCTTTTAAATTGTGAAAGTGACAAAAGCTGACTTTGGCATTGAAAGTGATTTCTTGAATTCTTAAAAATTTGTCTCTCCCTAAATTACAGCGGTTTACAGTATTGATGGAATAATTTAAAATTTTGGTATAAGCGAATAAATATTTGTAGTGAAGAGTAGCTTGCATGTGATGGTGTTTGGACAGTAATTTACCAAATGGTTACTGCTAAAATGTTTATATTGCTTGAAAGTCAAAGCTCTGTGAAAACAGAGTCAAGTGAAAAAATCAACTTTAACACAAGTGCATGGTGTAAGTATCATTGAAATTATGAGACCTGTCAAAGCCCATGGGTATTATGGGATAGCCAGTGGGTTACTACAGCCATTAGCTAGACTGGTGGGAGTCAATTAGTGAAAGAGGACACTTTAGTAAGATTATTTGGGGGATTGTAACCAGTCTATGTAGCCTAAGGCCCTTTGTGTTTTATTGCAAAGAAGGCCTTTTATATCCCAGTAGACGACAGATTTTGTTTATTCACAGTATGTGTCTAATCATTACTCCCTTGTCTAAAGTAAGTCACTTTGCAATGCATCTCTACAAATAGATTTTTAGATGATACTTGGTATTTAGCTGATATTTCTAGAGATGCCTCAGAAAGATTGAAATGGTAGATAAAACATTCAGGTGGGCATGAAAATTGTATTACTGGTAAATTATACGCTTGTAATCAAATAACTCATTTGGTTCACGTTTAGAATGCTCCAATGATGCAAGCATTCTTCCTTTTAATATTTCACAAAATTCCTTCCCGCAAAATGTGATTAAAAATGGTTTTGTAGACGTACTGTGTTTGAACCTGAATGGTTTTCATTGTACACATGTTGTCTACAAATAAGTTACAAACGTTTTCTACAGTTGTGATGTCTTGGCAAAGCTCACATTGGGTCTATTGACCAGACAACATATACCGGTATATAGTACAGAGTGAATGAAAAGTTGGCAACGACAGAAAACCATCACTCATACAAAATTAACCACTCGTAGAGCACCATCTAAAACGCGATTTAGAATTATTTGCAAACCGGGCTAGTCCACAGTTGTAATTTGAATACGAGACGAGACCATTCAAAAAATGTTTCATGATATTCAGCCATGTCTACAGCCATGATTGAATTCTGACAATAGCATGTAGATTACGTGGGATAAATGAAAAGCGTTTACCACCAAACATCCCTTGAGTCCAAGAGCGCTGACTGTTGCGATTAAAAATGCTAAAGTCAAAAGAAACACAGCTATGAATTTTGCAAGAATTATTGCTATGTTTCAAGTGAGCAGCAAACAAACCATGTATGAATTAACAGATACAGTTAACAATGCACAAACCAAGTGTGCATTAACACATACAGTGAGCGGCGCACACCATGTTTGAATTAACAGAAAATGAACGGTGCACAAACCGAGTATACATTAACACGTACAGTGAGCGGCGCACACCATGTTTCAATTAATTAGTGCATACAGTAAGATATTTTAAATTAGTTGATCTTCACAACATAGTTTTTATTGTTATCAGAGTTTTGTAGACATTGTAGGTGCCGATGCTTACAAACCAACGTGATCAAAGTTTTATGTTGTAATAAGCGTGATTCCTCCAATAATTTGAGCCTGTATAATATGGGGGAATATTCATTTAAGGCAAAAACACAAGCTTTGAAAATCACAGAGAGATGTGGTAACCTGAATCACAGTAATGACAGTTGTAATGTCTATATTCTTACAGTTAGTGAAAGCTGCTGAAGTGACTGCAATGAGAGCCGCAAGGTTTATTAGTTTGGAGGATTTCCTGTTTTTGATTAGAAAAGACCGTGACAAATTGAAACGATTACTGCGTTTCCTCTCCATCAAAGACTTGAAGAGTAAAATAAGTAAAACTGGCATTGTAGAGGATGAAGAAACCTACTCTGAATCAGGTGGGTTATTGTGACATGTCAGTCATGTGGTTTGTCTTGTCTTGTAGCAGTGATGGTAGTCACATGACTCGTGTCTCAGCACTATGTTACTCTATTTAACATGACAATTCATTTAATTGACATACATCATACATGTACACGGGATTTTGTTGATTGAGAGCTGTTTTGTCTCTGCGATGACAAGCCTGCAGTGAGCGTCAAATTCAGATTTTACATTCAACCTCAGTTTCCAGGTGAGGAAATAATCAACAGACAAACATACACTGAAAGATGATGAAAAGGATAAAAATGTTCTAATTCCAGCACTGAACAATAAATTGCCGATTATTTGTATGATGTATAGCTACTATAAAAATATGTGTATATTTACAAATATTACAAGGGTAAGCAGCACAGAAAAGACGTGTGTGTGTGTGTGTGTGATTTGAAATATGCTGCTTTAGCAGGTGGTGTATGCTTGTTTGTTATCTCATTACTGTTGTTGAATCTGATGCAAAAATCATGGTCTTGTATTAAAGCAGCACCGTAACAACAGCACGTGTGCACTTTCTATTGTTCTTCTGTTTATTGTTCTTTACTACATTTCACACATTACAACCTATACTCAGTTTTGAAATAATATAAGTCGTAACTATTGTAATTTATCATAACCAAAAAACTGTGACACATAATTTTGACAATTGTTTAAGTCATTAGCTTGTCTGTATATGTGCAATTGTTGCAGCAGGTCTCTTAAAAACAGGCAACTACCATTATGTAGTGCTGATTTATTATGTTATGTCTTTTGTTCTTTTGCACAACTAGCCGGGGACATAAAACCAATTGTTTCCAAAAGAAGAAAAATATCCTATGATTTTCTGAACACAATTGACCAGACTGGAGAACTGCTGGGACTCTTTGAAGAAGAAGACACTCTGGATGAAATCAAGCAAGATAGACTAGAACGCGCTGATAAACAGTCAAGAACCATGGATACGACAACTTATCAGGAGTACACTGAGAGTAGACAGATTAATTTCCGTAAGTTTTAACACTGCAAACTATATACATTATATTTGTCTTTTGTGGAGATTCAGGTGGAATAAAATGAATGCCAGGCAGCCATTTTTTGTTGGAAAATTGTACTTGATTTTTTAGAAGCGTGTTTCCATCATACATTTTGATATCTCATTAAAGTGTTACTTAAGTATATGCTCTACTAATATAGCAATCACTGTGTTGTTTACTGTAAACTACTTTATTTTAGCTGGAATTAATTTGACATTTTGGATGTTTTGTATGAAATTTATTTTATTTTCACTGAATCATTCCTTCCATGAAAATAGCCAAAATTAATTCCCAGCAAAAATAAAGTATTTTACAGTATATCATTTATTTGTCATAGGATTTTATTTTAAAACTTAACAAATTAATTATTAAAGCCACACTTGTTATATTTCAGATAAAAAAGCTAGTAAATTTAAAGAATGGTTAGATTGTTCTCATTTAGTGGATATCAAACCAAACCCACTGGCAATGGAAGTACTCAGTTATTTTGCTTATGAAACTGTGGCACAGGTGAGTTAGGTGGTCTTTGTGTTATTTTGAGTGAGTTAAGTAGGCTATAGTCGTGGATAGGTGAATGTGTCATACACAGATGAGTTAGGTGATCTTTGTGTTATTTTGAGTAAGTTAAGTAAGCTATAGTCATGGATAGGTGAATTTGTCATACACAGGTGAGTTATGTGGTCTTTGTGTTATTTTGAGTGAGTTAAGTAGGCTTTAATCATAGATAGGTGACTTTTATGTCATATACAGGTGAGTTAGGTGGTCTTTGTGTCATTTTGAGTGGATTAGGTAGGCTTTAGTCATAGATAGGTGAGTTAAGCACCATTTATATCACAAGCAGGTGATTTAGGTGACTTATTTGCCAAAATCAAGTGAGTTATAAAGTGCAAATGCAATAATGAAGACTCTTGTGCTATATTGTACTTGTACTTATATTTATAGTGGGGAAGTCGTCACCTGCACATGCGTCAGATGGCCATAGCATGTCATTGTTTACAAACAAGCGTCTACCCATGAGCCTTCGCGTTTTAGTGTGTGTTGTTATTGTTGCTTTGGACTCAATTTCTGCGCATGCACAGGTGATACACCTCTTTCGCATTAATGTTATAGATGTATGTTTATTGGACTTTCTGTTTGTTTCAGATTGTTGATTTAGCATTATTGGTAAAAAGAGATATGGAAAGTCAAGTACAAGATCCATTTGTCCAATCTAGACCCCCTAGCTGTATCAGTAATATCACAATACATATACCATCAACTTCACAGTCTATAAAAAGTATCCCCACATCACAACCAGTGTCTCCTAGCAACCAATCACCACCATCAACACCTACTACCCCGACAACCAGTGTCATGTCATCTCCATTTCTATCAGCATCATCTACTAATTTAAATGCTTCCTTAAATAGTAATTCATCCAGCGGTTCCCAACAGCATAGTCTCAGTGGATCCCAACAACACAATCTTAGTAATATGTCACAACAAAGTACAACTGCAGCCACCAAACCAAAAGCCAAGAAAAGAAAAAAGGTAATGCCTGCTTATGTCTCTGTATCTTCCAGTTTTTAACATAGGTGCAGTTTTTTGTGAACAAGTGACAGGTTATGCAGGTCATATTCAGGTGCTACAGGGCATATCAAGATCATGTTTCTCCTGTCTCCTATGAGGAAGCCACCCACAGAAAAGCAAGTCAAGCAGTGCTTGTCATAATCTAATGTTCAATCAATCAAAAAACATGGGTGATGTTTACTGCATGAGTCACAGTATGAGACACAATCACATTTTATTATTGTCTAGATTTCATGCAGTATTCTCTTTATATGCCACTCCACAAATACCTAAAATCCATGTAGTGTTCCAATCACTAAGCAACACTCCACTAACACCTAGAATTTATGTGGTGTTCAACTCAACTAATGCCTAGAATCTATCAGTTTTTTCTCTTTGATGTCACATACAAGTCTATTTCAAGATGACATAATCACGTTACTAATAGTATGGATAACATCTGTACCAACATTTCACATAAGCTCCGTTCAAATCACATAGCTGATACTTATACATGTAAGAGATCTGTCATAAGAAAGTCTTTACAGTTGTCATGACAACAAGTGTACAAAGCCGTAACTGTTAATCTTTGTCTTTTTATAGAGTGGTGCCACATCAACTTTAGAGAGTGGTAGTGTGAATGCGATACAAACAACACATATTAGAGAAGCTTTAAGAAGATATTATCAAAGCACTGGACCAATGGCAGTATTTTCTGTAAGTGCGTTTCATAATTCTTGCTCAAATTTCCTGAATTTAACGTGTTAGTGAAGACTATAAAAATGTTATGATACATGTGTGTTGTAACCTAGCAACTCTATACAGGCTTCATCATTGTCATATTTGGAGTGCAGTGTAATGCGTTGTGACAGTTTATATACACAGACTAGTTACATTTAACATACGTTACACATCAAACTATGATTTGTATTTCTGCATACAACTCTCTTTAATATATTACATCAGTGGTACATTACTTGGGGTTTGCAAATACATTGACATGATACCAAGATCCCGTTTCAATCTCGCTCTCACATAAGCGTTCCAACTCAGAAAAATGCGCATGCCCGAGGTAACTAGGATACTGGGATGTCAAGGTGGATCTAAATAGCTGCTCACGATATGACTGATTACGATAACTATATTTCCTGTAAATTTTCGATGTACAGTATTACATTTTTTCACTATGAATGTGGTAATACATGTTTTATTGTTTTATTAAAAACCGTTTATGTCATGTCAGAAGGTCGTAGCATCAGTCTCACTATCTACGAGATGAGACTTGAATGGGATCTTGGCATGATGTCACCATACAGTACTATGTGCGTTGCAAACCCCAAGTAATGTACCTGTGATTACATCTAGTGTCAATGTTTTAAAGTACATATACAGGTAATATGAGTGATAGTCTGTCCGTCTCATACTTATGGTGCTTGTTTATTTTCAGAAAAATTCATCTGTATTATTTATCAGCAAGTTTCTTGGATGTTGAAAACTTGTCATCGATTATTTGGTTCATCTGCATCAGAGATGTTAAAATGAGGGCTGTAAGAAATCTTGTGCTTGCTAAGGTCAATGAACTTTGGCACAGAGGTCAAAGATTGTGACGTCTTCTTCTGTAATATTCAGAAATATAACATTATGTTTTATTAATATCAGTTAGATATATTTGAAAATATTTATTAAAAAAATTAAGAATAATAATATTAAGGAAAAAAGCATCAATTATTGACACTTTATATCTATTGTTGAATTATATTTCTTATACACAAAATACAACACTTTTAATTTTGAATATGAAATAAAACCTTTTTGATACACACAGTGTGGTTTTTTTCTATGGTTTGATTTTCTTCAAAGCGGATATAGCCGTCTTTTTTAAGTATGTCTTGTTAACTGCCAAGATGCGGCCCATGACTGATATGTGCTCAGAAGTGAACTGCAAGAAAATATATAATATAACACATACAAGCATCCAGGTGCAAGCTATTAACTTCCCTGTAGTTAATGTAAACTACAAATATGCTGTATTAATCCCGTTCACAACAGATATAATCTGCCACAGACTTATTTGAAATCGAAAAACTTGTTATGTAATTTGTCTTGGATGCAGGTCTCTGTCTGTGTTCTCTATTTTTTTTGATAAAATTAAATACTTTATAAATATTTGAGGCCATGCATTGTTAGATCGTACAGACGTCAAATTTTGTTTTTAAAATCTGATTCAGGATGAATGACTGGCAGTCATTTATTTCTCAAAAATTGGGATGTGCAGTCTTTGATCGAGGGCTATGTCATCAATGCAACTGACAGGGGCTATGTCATCTATTTACCTGTTTGCTGTATTTAGTGATGCTTGTAAGCAACAATTTACCAAACTTGAGACATGAATTCTGCGCTATCCCATGATGCTCTAGAAGTGTCAGGAATGTTGTTATTGTGACAGTGTTTAGATCAAGCTGTAAAAAGAAGTGATAAAAACAGTTACTGTGTAGTAATTGTAATCCCAGACTGCATAACCAATCAAGCAACTTGCTAGAAATAATAGAAATAGAGTTTACCTTTGGTTCAATTAGTGTAAGAAAAACTTGGCTGGTGTGAACAGTCCACTCAAAATTCATATCAACAAGTTTACTGCAAATAAATTATATGCATAAGACAAATGTTAGTAATTTCTTTTTCTGTAGAATACTGTAAAAGAGTTAATTATTCACTAGGTTTTATTTTTGCTCATTTCACTGACTGAAAAATGAGCCAAATTAAACCCCAGTGAATATGTAAAATTTAGCATAGAACACATTATCTAAAAGATAAAACGGTGATTTCAAAAACCAATTAATATGCCTGAAATGCTAAATCAGCGAAATTTTAACTCAGTGAAAATTAATGATTTTACAGTAGAAGGCACTAGCTCATTGGCAGGGGCAGCAGCCTGGGAAATATTTCAAGAATTGGTCAATGAACCCAAGGTGAAATTTGTCATAATTATGTTTGTGGATTTGCATATTTGCTGTACATGACTTCCAGAGTCTGAGAAATGTTTGTTTTGGGGTTGTTTAGCATTGAACACTTCTAGAGGCTGGTGAATTTGTGAAATTTAGTTCCCATCAAAATCAAGAGGAGCATGAAATTAATAGTGATTGAAAATAAAATAAACTAGAATTAAACCAGCACACAATATGAGAAAGCGCAGTACTAGTACATAGTAGATAGGTAATGTTGGGTTATTTAAAGGGTTTGTAATCTAGCTGTATGTCTGGCAGAGTGTGCATTACACAAAGGTAATCTAATATTACCATATTTACTCTATTAGAAACGCATCTCCATAAGAAGCAGACGCAAGCCAAACATGTACATGTAGTTTGACTACAGACACACCAGTTAGTTACAAAGAGCATACACTATTAATAGATGTAATTACATAGAGAAAATATGTTAATTAGACACTGCCAAATATTGTGCAGGTTTATCACTTTACATACCTGAAGAAAAATTCCTTAACTTGCTTATCAAATGTCTCTCTAGCCAGTTTACAAATTATATCGGCCTGTGGACTTCCTAAGTTTGCACACATTAGCACCAATGCACCTTCAATTAATGCTTTGGGGAATTTTCCACTAAATCTTGTGACTGTAGTTACCAGTCTCCGTGATGCATTCTGTTGTAAATGCAGCAACTGAAATATAAGTAGAGACTGTGCTTAATACATGGACATTGGTTTATGGCCACTTATGTAGATTTGTCTGTCAACCAATTGGAGCATGTGTTACTAAAACAGCCTGTCATACTAGAAAGTGGTTTGTAACTCGGGTTCTGATTTATTTTTAATCCTACAAATAATTTACATTGGTAGTTTGTTATATGTAGTTATAGGCATGCACACTGATGGTCGTTTGTAAAAACATTTTAATCAGATTGATTCATTATAAGATACATTACACCAGTCCTCTAAACTACTAATATTTAATGCATGAAAACAAAAGTATTGTTACATCAGCCATAGAGGGCACAAATCTTTGAAAGGTGCCAAATTTGTCAACTTCTGATCAATCTATTCCAAAATTGTTGCGAGCTTTTATTTTTAATTTTCAAATGCTAATGATATTCATTTTTTCTAAAAATTTTTAGAAGGAACAATAATGAAATGCTGTAACATGCACATTTTTATTTGATGTCCTCTATGGCCAGAAACAATATTTTAGTTCAGGCCTGAAATTGTTTTTTTTTTGTTTTTTTTTATTTGGACTTCATTGATCTTGATTCATGGTTTGATGTGTATGCAACACAGGAGTAAATGTTGTAATTACAATGTGGAATCAATATAATAGAAATTTTGGTTTTAGTCAACTGTGTGTAGACATTGTTTCTTCACCATAAATCTATTTTTCTGAGAAAACTCTTAATTATGTGGAAAATAATACGAGTTTCCATGATAATTTCATCATCAAATACCAATATTATGTAATTTTATATCACAAGTAATATTGAGGTACTCCCTTGCCTATAAACCAACAAAATATTTTTACCGTAATTAACTTTTTACAAGGAGACCATATATTTTAGAACTTTCTTCACCATTCAACACAATATGCAAAAACAAATTTGGTCAGAGAGGGCGCTATTCACAATTATCCTACCTTATCCAAGTAACATTGTTTGGCAATTACTACACAATTACTGTAGCTTGGTTCTGGTTGAAGATTACACAAACATTGACAAAATATCTGCAGTGTAACTTCTGAGAAACTATCTGTCTTCATGTACTTACAGATGCCATCAACCTAAAATTAAAAAACAAAATCAAATTCAAGGAAAACTGTATTATCCTTTAATAACATAATGGGCCTCTCACGTATTAAAAGTATCACCAGAGATGAAATATCAAAACAGCAGATCAGAGAAGCATTAGTAAATGTGAATTAAATATGAATAGACGTGGTTTATGAACCTCACCTGCTGTGAAGTGTGTTTGCTAAATAACTCCATTTCCATTTGATGGTCACCGGGAACTCCGTCTGAGCTAGAATTTAGAACATCTAGTAATTTATCCACTTTAATCTGTGAAAAATCAACGTGGTTATTCACTGAAAGTTTACTGGAAGTGTGCCATGTCTGTTTAAACAGAATATTGCTAAATATTGCAGTTAATACATTCAAATTACTGAAGAGATAAAATGCATTATCAAGTTTAATAAATATTAAAAATTTGAACATGAACGGTCAGGGCATGTCAGAGATATGGCTCTGCAACACCATTTCTTAAAACAAAATGACTGCTAGTCATTGCATCATGAAACAAATAGTCAATCATGCATATATATCCCAAGATGTATGCTGTAAACTTGAATGTGATTGGTTCAGGTGGAGGAGCATACACGGGGGTCAATCTAGAAGTCCCAGCTTTTGGTCTACGTTCAAACATGGACTGAAAACAATTCCATCACAGAGGGCTCTCTCCAATATAATTATTGGGTTGTATATAGTATAATCATATTCAATGTATTCTATTACCTTTATGTCTGTGTCAAGATCTGGTTCGTCTATTTCCATGGTAACATCATCTACCTCTGTTACCGTCGCATCATCATCCTTGGCTTCCACCTTCACATCATGTGCATTCTCGTCATCAGTACTTGAATCCAAGATGATGACCTCATTGTTACAAACGTGTTCTTGACTGAAACGCTTATCTCCACTATGCGGCATGTCTACATCCTCTCGTTCACTGTCAATCTCCATTCCAGGAGATAACACTTGCTGCTCCCTCACATCAATTAAGTCTTTCCACTCATCAAAGTGAGACCTACCTACACCATCCGAAGTGTGCTGGCTAGAGGCTTTAATTCTATCACACAAATCTGTGAGTTTATTTGATGATTGACAAAACAAATCAAGTCTAATCTTGTCAGTCTCAGCAAGCATATGTGTTCTTTCTATCTCCTTCACAAGAAACGCTAACCAATCGTCCTGCTTTATGTATTGTTCGATTTCATTTAATAATTTCACGATGACGTCACTTGGGATTTGTTCTTGGTGGTAATGAATAAATGTTAACAAATTTCTCTGTATGTCTATCGGCAGTAAAGAAATCCTTGGTTTGCTGAATAATATAATTGAAGAAAATATCAAAACTGTTATGATTACAAATTCACAAGGTCAGATACTGTGCTATATTATGTGGTGTTAATTGGAGTATAAGACATATCTATCAGTGATTCGACAGATGCTCTCCAGACATCAGCTAAGTGTTTCTGTTAAATTCACTGTTTTGCATCTCAAAATATGCCAAATTATTAGAAATTTCCCATGAAATTTCCCAATTATTAGAAATTTCCCATCCTTTTTGAACAAAATATCATAAGCTAACTTTGAGGCAACTGAACCCCTGATCTATGACTTTATTGCACAGACCTAGGTATTACCACTGGAGAACTCAGTGACATTTACATTTACCTACTTACCCTTGTCATCTCTTATCAATGTTTGTTCGTATTATTGACTTCTTCACCCTTATTAGTAAAAGGTAATTTTAGTAACTCCACAACTTAAGTCTTAAGTCCACAACATTAACAACATTCCAAAAATACTTACAAAATGAGTGTTTTATCTTGATGTATAATCGGTTCTTTCTGACACAGCGATTGGATTAGGTCATTCCATGAAAGTGCTGACTGTTGTAATAACCAGTAGTTTGATGACTGTATTGGATTGTCTGGATTACTTAAAGTCCCAATCACTCCATGCCATTGCAATGGTATTATTTTCAACACTAATGTTTCCAAATCCATTCTTACATTTGGTTAACAAAACAAAAGATTTTTTTCTTTTCACACACTGACGTAATGAATTGTGTTGATTTTCAACTACTTTTTATGCACCTCATTTAACCTGAAAAAACAAGTACATTTGTTGTGGTTATGTCATTTTTAATTGTATAGTTTGATTGTTCTTTAATCAGAATTTGCATTTTTTATGCACTTAGTCCACAGTCACTTGGGGGCTGAAAATTAATAAATACTAATTTGCTTTTTTTTAAATCTTTCGCTATACGTATATAAATAAATATTAATATGCGTATAGCGGATGATTTAAAAAAAAATACTGTAAAAGGATTAATTATTCACTGGGTTTTAATTTTGCTTATTTTGCTGACTGGAAAATGCACTAAATTAAAACCCAGTGAATATGTAAAATTTAGCATAGGACACATCACTAAATGATAAAACCATGAATTTAAAACCCACTGAATAGGCAGGACTCCAGAAGGAGTACCTACACTTTATGCAAATTTTTTAAAATTATGCTAATTTATTCATGACATAGCAGTTTCTGTGTTCATGAATATTCATTAATTTGTGGATCAATACATTCTAAAAGGGGCGATATATTATTTTGGGGGGTTAGAAGAGTTAGAAAGGGGAATTAGCAATCTTTAGGGGGTCAATACAAAAGAAGGGACCCATTTGGAGAACAAATGGGATCCTCGTGTCTGTTGTTGCACGTAACCTGCAGCTGTCAACTGTGTTCGTACTTCGACGACTTCGACTGGCTTCCATGTGAGGTAGTTCCTTGTGTTCTGTTTTTCTGACTTGAGTTCTTGATATACAGAAGTTGCTGTTTATGTTTTTTTTTCTTTCATATCTTGTCTTGTAGGAGTGTCCTGTCCGTGATTCAAACTTGCAATCTTTGAGTTCCCAGCGCACTGTCTTGTCCACTGTACCACGAGTGTCTTCATGCAAATGATAGGATTTAAGTCCTAATTATAGGATAAATGTTTTCACTAGCATTCAAAAATAGACTGGCAGGCATGGGAATTGAACCCAGGTCCTTCTGATCACTGTATAGACAACTGAACCACAAGACCACAATTGATTGACTGGATGTGTTTGCATTTGTTAAGACTATATAGTGTATATATATATATAGAAATACAACATATTTCGATTATTGAGTTACAATTGTCCAAAAAATTGCCAATTTTGTGTTTTTACTTGTGTAAACTATATGCATGCCATAACCCGTTAGTGTACATCTTGCCAATTGGGTGTTTGCCATTTGCGTTGCCCATACCTGACCCGATCCTAACCCTAATGCCAAGACACGTTCCTGTTAATAATTCGGTAATATAATATTTAGACTTATTTTGGTGTAGACAGCTCTCGTTTGATTAATTCCCACAATTACAAGTTGTTAAATTGAGAGAATAAATGTGCGGACAAATATTTTTAACTTATTTTGGTGTAGACAGCTCTCGTTTAATTATTTTACACTATTACAAGTTGTTAAATTGAGAGAATAAATGTATGGACAAATATTTTAGACTTATTTTGGTGTAGACAGCTCTCGTTTAATTATTTTACACCATTACAAGTTGTTAAATTGAGAGAATAAATGTGCGGACAAATATTTTTAACTTATTTTGGTGTAGACAGCTCTCGTTTTGATTAATTCCCACAATTACAAGTTGTTAAATTGAGAGAATAAATGTGCGGACAAATATTTTAGACTTATTTTGGTGTAGACAGCTCTCGTTTGATTAATTCCCACAATTACAAGTTGTTAAATTGAGAGAATAAATGTGCGGACAAATATTTTAGACTTATTTTGGTGTAGACAGCTCTCGTTTAATTATTTTACACCATTACAAGTTGTTAAATTGAGAGAATAAATGTATGGACTAATATTTGAGACTTATTTTGGTGTAAACAACTCGCGTTTGATTAATTCCCACAATTACAAGTTGTTAAATTGAGAGACTAAATGTGTGGACAAATATTTTAGACTTATTTTGGTG